ATTAATATAAAAAAAAAAAAAAAAGGGGGATTACACACACCAAATACAATACACATGCACTAACACATTCATAGAGAGAGAAACAAAGTTATAGCTACGCAGAACACACACCGATATATCACCAAGCACTCTCCCCACAAAAATAAATAAATAAATAAAATTTCTTTCAAAACTTGACCTAAAGGCCTAACATTCATTTCCCTTTATCAATTCTTCACCTCCGTATTCCAGCATCTGTTACAAAAAAAAAACTGTAAACCCAAAGTTTCAGATAAGATTTTTATTATTTTTTTGAGGTGGCAAATGTCATAGGGAATTTACTGGAGATCTGTGGTTGATCGGTGGATCCAGTTTAATTTTAAGTTGATTTTTTTCGGTTTTATCTCCGATCCTTCTGTTTTTGCTCTTTTCAGGTACGATCTGTGGCTACTTATTTTTTGTGCAATTTTTTGGTTTTTTGTATTTATTTTTTTATTCAAAGTAAAAGGAATATTAAAACTTTGAAGCTCTTCGGATGATTAATTAAAATACTTATGATGAGATGATTGTATGATATTTAGATTCTTTAATTTTTTTCCTTCAATAATGATCTCGTTAAATTTATTCTTTTTTTAATTTTACTTGTCCTGAAGGAAATTGATTCATGTTGAGATTAAATAGGGGTATTGCAGCCTATCTGTCTCTATCCCTCTCTTCTAACCTTTCCCCTCGCTATTTATGGATTTCATGGTTGTGTTGGTTAAGCTACATTTCGATTTTCATGTTACTTATTGGAAAATTTCTGATCTATAGCCACACAATATAGAATCTATGTGCATAAACCATAAGCTAGTGAATTCTGCTAAAAATAGTATTCTTTTCTGTTATGTATTTATTGCTTTACTCAATTGCGGCTTTTTTATTCTTTTTGGCAGTTTATGAGTTTTCAAGATTAATCATAAGAATTAATTTCTCTTCCATGTAAAACTGTGAGCTTTATTAGCTCTATGTTCTTGATAATTCAAAGTTTAATTCTTTTCCAGTGGCTGCTTTATGTTTCTCCTCGTCCAGTTTTTGATTCTTGAATAACTTTTTTTATGGGCTTTTATGTTTATCTATTTCAAATATCAACTTGTCCTTAATCGTCCAGTATTATTTTTTCCTTATTTTGCTTATTGAAGATTCTGAATGGAAGGTGTCGAAGTGAGTGGGATGTGAATTGTATGGGTGATGATGCCAGAGTTGCGTAGCGGAGCACGGAGATCAAAACGGCTTGGTGATCTCCAGCCTGCCCCTCAACCCATTAATCAAGAAGAAAATTTTGTTGCACCTGCTCAAAATAGAACCAGGAGGAGAGGAAGAGGCAGAGGCAATGCAGCGGCTGTAGCAAAGGGGCCTTCTGCAGCAACACCCACAAGGCCTACTGCAGCTGGTAGAGGCAGAGGAATTCGTCCGATAGATCTAGACCCGGAACCGCCTTGTGAGGTTCTTCCTCAAGCAGTTGCCCTTGGGGCCGGGGAACCAGCTTTTAACAGAATAGAGGGCGTTGCAGATAAGGAAATTGCCATGGAAGGTGGGAGCGCAGACAAAATAGTGGGAGTTGAAGAAGAAGCAAGTACAACTCCCGTTCCTGAGAGGGTATCTTGTTACTCATTCTTTCCACTCCCTTTATAATATTTCTCTTTCTGGATATGTCTCAAGTACACTCGTGGATGTTTGGACACTAACCTTAATATATTTTCTGAATATCTCCATTTGCTGATTCAATCTACTACACTTCGATAATCTTTGAGTACATGTAATTACTCTCTTTATGTTGTTGGTGCAGGTACAAGTGGGTAATTCTCCCGTGTATAAGACAGAAAGGAAGTTGGGTAAGGGTGGTTTTGGCCAAGTTTATGTTGGCCGAAGAGTCAACGGTGGCTCTGAAAGACCAGGGCCAGATGCAATTGAGGTATGGCATATTGCCATGGTATTTGGGTATTTGGAACAATTATCTTTTCCTGCATCTGATACAAAAGATTATCATTTATAGGTAGCATTGAAGTTTGAGCATCGAAATAGTAAAGGTTGCAATTATGGCCCTCCGTATGAGTGGCAGGTGTACAAGTAAGCATTTCATCTTCTTAATTTGAAGAGGTTATTTATTTCCTTTTTATTTTTAAAATCTTGATGTCTGTGTATGTGTCTTATTTTGTTGTTTGATTGGAAAGCACCTTGAATGGATGTTATGGGATCCCATGGGTTCACTACAAGGGTCGTCAAGGAGATTTTTACATCCTGGTGAGTTTTGATTTCTGCCTTTTGCATTGGAATTTTTGTTGCTGTGTCTAATTAATATTTGTTTCAGGTAATGGACATGCTTGGACCCAGTCTTTGGGATGTTTGGAATTCCTTTGGCCAGTCGTAAGCTCTCCCTCGCTCTTATATTTGTACGTGTACACAACACACACTTGTATACATACGAGCACCTATGTTTGTAGGTGTGGATGCATGTGCATACGTTTGTCTTTATATACGCATGCATGTATCCGTGTGTGCTTGTCACGTGTTTATGTGTGTATACATTTGTGCACGTGCATAAAGAATACAGCAGATTTATGCACACGCTTGTAACTGTATGGAATCCCCATTGCATCGGGTTTTTGTTATGCTATATATTTCGTTTTTGATGATGAGCTTTTGAAATAGGATGTCACCAACTATGGTTGCTTGCATTGCTGTGGAGGCTATATCAATTCTTGAAAAGCTTCACATGAAGGGGTAGCTTCTCTACCATATCTTTGATTTTCCTAGATATCTTGAATCTTAACCCTTCATCTGTTTTCGAATTGTACCCTTTCACTTGAATCGATGATTACCAATATGTCTCTGTATTGCTCATCTAGGTTTGTGCATGGAGATGTGAAGCCAGAGAACTTTTTACTCGGTCAACCTGGAACTGCTGATGAAAAGAAGCTATATCTCATTGACCTTGGTTTGGGTATGATGCTGTTATTCTGACTCTCTCACGTCACTACACCATATTCTAACTATAAACTTCTGGGCATGTTGAAAAGCTAATCATAGAAAGTTTTATTCTTTTCCTACTATATATACAGCTCTTACCCCTTTCTGCAATTCACATTTTCTTTTCCCTAGTTTATTTCCTTGTTTACCCCATTTGCCTGAATATTATAATATTTGTTTCTTAATATACTGTTGATGCAGCATCTAGGTGGAAAGACGCATCATCTGGTCAGCATGTCGAGTATGACCAGAGGCCAGATATATTCAGGTTCGTGGAATTAACTTGTGTACTGGATGAAGCAGTTGAATATACACTAATAAACTCCATCCGCAGGGGTACAATAAGGTATGCAAGTGTGCATGCACATTTGGGTCGTACTGGTAGTAGGAGGGACGATCTAGAGTCACTGGCCTACACGCTTATATTTCTCATCAAAGGAAGGTTGCCTTGGCAAGGATACCAGGTAAGTCAGTTTCTCTAAGTTAGTAACTGGTTTGTATCTTGTCTCAACTTAGGAAATTTATTCAATCGTTTCACCATTCTTATTTGGATGATGACAGGGGGACAACAAGAGTTTTCTGGTCTGTAAAAAGAAAATGGCTACTTCACCGGAGTTGATGTGCTGCTTTTGCCCAGCTCCATTCAAACAGTTTCTTGAGGCTGTTACAAATATGAAGTTTGATGAGGAGCCAAATTATCCTAAGCTGATATCCTTTTTTGAAAGTCTTATTGAACCGTGCATATCATTGAGGCCAATCAGAATTGATGGAGCTCTCAAGGTTATGCTTACACAGTATACATAGTAGTATTCATATTTATAGGGTATGCTCTGTACGTTTTTACATTTACACATTGAATTGTATTGCACAAGCAGGTTGGTCAGAAGCGTGGGAGGTTGCTCATTAATTTGGAAGAGGAGGAGCAACCTAAAAAGAAAGTACGACTAGGTAGTCCTGCTACCCAGTGGATTTCAGCATATAATGCACGTCGCCCCATGAAACAGAGGTGAGTAGCTGCTTCTACCTGCTTGTCTTGCTTTGTATGCGCATGAAATTTGTGACATGCGTTGCTATTGTAATGCACATGAACTCATAGATGTACCACAAATTTCAAACATACAAAGCAAGCAATGAAGACAAGCCTAATTTTGCTTGTAGATTATTTCTATTTCTAGAGATGCATTTCCTAATTAATGAGCATGTGGACCATTTTAAAATTTTTCATTCACCCAAACCTTGAGAAACACGAAACTTTGGAGCTGCCTGTTTTAAAGTTATAGGCTGCTCGATCTAATTAAAGATGAGACTTTGAAATAAAAAGTGCCTTGTTTTAAGTTATGTTAAAAGGCCTGTTTTTTACTTAATAAAGTGAAAAGTATCAAGTATATCCTTATTAAAGAAAGCCTAGTTGACTAAAGTTAACACAAGCCGAGTTGATACTTTTTCTAACTTCACTCGTCTAAATTCATTTATGTTATTGGATATTTGCACGGGAGCAAAAGGATGAAAACAAAGGGAATATTTCCTATCTTGAAAACAAGAGGGTGTCTTTGGGTTATAAAATATTGACTAATGAAAGAATGCCTCTTTTTAAGAATATTTGAAAACAAATTTAATTTTCTATTTTGGGTTATAAATATTCCCAGATATCACTACAATGTTGCGGACTCACGGCTCCGACAACATGTGGAGAAGGGTAATGAAGATGGTTTGTATATTAGCTGCGTGGCATCGGCTTCAAATCTGTGGGCCTTAATCATGGATGCCGGTACTGGTTTCACTTCGCAGGTGTATGAGCTTTCATCCGTCTTCCTTCATAAGGTTGCTTTTGCTAGTAATCAACACCTCAATTTCTTCTTCTTCTTTTTTTTCTTTTGTCTCGTGGAAGGATGTCTATTCTAATGGTATCCTTTTTTTTTTTTTTTAATCAGGATTGGATCATGGAACAATGGGAAAAAAGCTATTACATCAGTTCAATTGCTGGTGCAGCTAATGGAAGTTCGCTAGTTATTATGTCTAAAGGTTGGTTGAAAGTTCTGTCTGGGTGTGTTTGTGTGTGTGCCCTTTATCAGGTCAGATGCTTTTGCATTGGTTTACGTATGCTAGTGTGTGTTGAATGCAGTCGATCACATCACTCAATTGGTGAAATGGTTTCTATATTATTTGTGTGATTATATTTTTTTCTTTGTGATTTCCACAATAATTTAGGAACTCCTTACACCCAACAGTCATATAAAGTTAGTGAATCTTTTCCATTCAAGTGGATTAATAAAAAATGGAAGGAAGGTTTCCATGTCACATCAATGACTACTGCTGGCAGTCGCTGGGGTGTTGTAATGTCTCGAAATTCAGGGTACTCTGAGCAGGTAAGGCTACATTATGTAGTAGACTTCTAGTCAATCTTAATGCAAATACCATCTCACCAATTTTGCACATGTATTTAGTATAATTATACTCACTATAAGGCTCCTCGATCCTTAGGTTGTAGAGCTTGATTTTCTGTATCCAAGTGAGGGAATACATCGTCGATGGGAAAGTGGCTACAGAATAACGTCCATGGCTGCTACTGCTGATCAAGCAGCCTTCATACTGAGTATCCCAAGACGTAAAATGATGGATGAGACTCAAGAGACTCTTCGCACATCTGCCTTCCCTAGTACACATGTAAAGGTCTGTAGTTTCTACATAGTTACTTATTCATATACAGTTATTGGTGATGGGAGGCAATCTTTGATAACTAAATAATATGATCACTTGGAACAAAAACTGCAACTTTTGTTGCTTGACATTTTCGACTCCCATTCATAGCCTTCCTGTTAAGACAAGATTTGTGCTTTGCCTGTAAGATATGTTTAAGGCAGATATATATGTGCTTTGTCAAAACTGAGGATTAATGGTTGAATTTATGTTAGAGATGCTTCTTCTAGTTAGTATTTTGTTTCCTAGTTTCCTCTTCATTTATTATGCATTCCCTCATTGCATAAGCTTGAATTAATGCTGACAGATAAACCAACTTTTTTATTTGCAGGAGAAGTGGTCCAAAANAAAAAAAAAAAAAAAAAAAAAAAAGGACATCTAGCAGAACGATACAGAAGTTGCCAAACTTATGACCTAAACCAGGCATGAGCTTGCCGAGGGAACCTATGTATTTTGGATTTGCAGCCGATGTTAAGCTGCCATTGTACTCTAATTTTATGCAATTGACTTGTGGTTCATTTATTCTATCTACTGTTTGTGAAAGAGGATGTAATTTCGCCATTGCTTTTAAGTACCCAGAGAAACTTGAAACTGATTGGAAATTTAGACATTTTAACGGTTGAGAATCCTCTTAAAGGTTCAAGACCTTTAACTGTTATTTTTCTTTGATTCTCATTATTTTTAAAATACATATTTTTTTCTTTTCAATCACATTTTTAATAAAATAATATTACACGTAAATTTAAAATTTTTTCTTATTTTTTAATGACACATTCTTCATCAATCTATTATTTCAAAATGCATTTTTGGATAAAAATGAGAATCAAACATGCTTTGTTCTCTATGGTTGGTGCTCGAAGATAATTTAGAAATCATCGAGTATTGATGTATTTAGGAATATTTATTAAAGCTTGTTTGGTAGTGCTTTCAATTTTTTAGAAACTAAAGGTGTAACTAATAAGTCGGTAGTAAATCATATGGAATGTATAAACAAAAAGTATATTCGACTATCTTAAATGAAAATTTAAGCTTTGCCAAACATGTACTTAGCATCGGTAGTCTTGTATGTTGAGAGTAATGGAGCAAAATATGAACTATAGTATCAGTTCCACTTTCTTATGCCAAATATTTTGTGATCTTGCAAATTCAATATGTTGCATTTGCCTTTGTCTAAGAAGTTCTCGCCTTAACATCCATTCCTTCCAGTAATTCGAGGAAAAAGAAAAGATGATTAATCAAACGTATCAACGACCTATCATAGTGAATGGAATTAGTTACATGTCCTTGTATCATCATTTCCCTATCGTCTTAGTTGAAAACTAGTTTCCAATGTACAATAATAATAAAAAAATCCATTTTTTTTTATTGTTAAACTTCAATAATAAGAATCCATTTTTTTCTATTGTTAGACTTCAATAATAAGGTCTAAAATAAAGTTCACATTCGCTTTAATTTTTTTTTAGGGAAAATGAGTTTTAAAATAATGATTTTTTGGAGATTGTGCAGTTAAAAAGTAGAAAAAAAAATTGAATTTACGTACAAAATATTTATTGTAAGATTGTAGTTGAAAATGTGTTTTGAGAGAGAGAAAAAAAAGGGGTTCTATTTTAATGATTTTCAAACTAGGGCTTAATGGGTAAGTCATACCATTTCCTTATTTAAGTCCATGTTTGGTTTGAATTTTAATTCAAAATCAACAATTAATTTTAATCACATATTTTATGTGATCTACGACTTTTCAATCACACATTTAATTTACTGAAAATCAAATTTTAATCTAAACCAAACAAGGGCTATCCCATATCCCTTTAAATAGAAGTATTAATTTCTCTCTTAGATAGCATTACGCGCGAAAAGGTTTATAGTCCACCCTTCAAGCAAGGGCAGTAGGGACGAAACTTAATCAAGCCGAACTTTAAGTTTTCGACCATGGATTCTATTCTGCAAAGGTCAGCAAAAGAGAGGTTAAAGAGTTGGCCATAGTACAAGATGACACCATGCAACCACATGAAAATGGATCAGAAAAATTTAATTATTCAATAACTAAATTAGGTTTTAGTAATCTGAAAAATAAATCATGTAGGATATGGGTCCTAATCCAATTCCACAAAATATGATCATGAAAATTGAAAAGTGAATAGTGCCGGAGCTGCCCATCAAGCAACAACCAGAAAATGGGTAGTCAATACACCAAAACATAAATCATAGGGAAAAAAAACCATATTTTTGTAATTGTATAACATACTTAAGGGTATTTTTGTCTTTTAATCATCAAAATGTCATTGCGGTGAATGACAAATAACTTAAGCTTATGTGGAAAATGGAGGTGTTGACATGGCTAAACTTAAAACTACCCCCATTAGATCAAGAAAACGTTGCGAAAATTAAATTAAAATAATAATAATTACAACCAGTGTCTCAAACATTTCAAAAAGTGCTAACAATCCTAGTTAAAACAATTTAAGAAACAAATAAAGAAAAATTAAAACTTAAAAGAACCTCCTTCTCCTCCAACTACGCCCTTGTTTCGTGGCCTTTAATAGTAAAGAATAATGTTTTGAATAGTATTTTCTAGAGAACGTGTGGTTAAAAGTAGAAAAATGTTTTGAATTTATGTGTAGAATATTTTATTGTGTGAATATGTTATTGAAATTGAGTATGAGAAATAAATTAGAGTGAATTAAAGGCCACCAAATAGGAGCTAACTTACCAACTCCCATCCGATTTCCACTTCCATCGCCATCCCACTTTCAAGCAACCGAAAAGAGCTCTAAATTCGAACAGTTGGTGTTAAAGACTGTTAATTATATTAGGCTGCCTCACTATACTTTGGGTTGGGCCGTGCTTGCTGTTTGGACTGTTAAGTGAAACTGGTTGTTGGCGTCATGAACTAATGTTATCAGCCGTACACGTGGCTGATACTCTACCATTGGATACTAACTGTTCATATTACTTGGTTGACTTGGCTTTTGAGACTCTGGCATTCGAGAGTCTTCTATTCTCTCTTCGTCTCTCTGTTTCCCTTGTTCTCTCTGAGTGAAGTTTAGGGTTTCATGGTTTTGTAATCATAATCAATCTTAGTGATTACTTCAATCCTGTACTTTGTGAAATATGTATATGGTGTATAGATTAGGGGTTGATTCTTTGTGATTACGATTCTGTATTTTTTAGACGAAATTAAATTTGTTTGGTTATTTTTGCTCTTGACTCGTACTGAGTTTGGCGAGTTGGAGCAACTCATTCTGATTCCTGGTTGAGTCTGTAACTCGCTATGTTCTTGCATTCGTTCTGGACTCTTTCATGTGATTCTGGTATTCTCCTCATGCTCTCTTCATTCTGAAACATTGAGGTTTCAGATTCTGGTATCGTTTCTAAACCCCCTTTTTACCTTTGATAGCACTGTTAAGTTCTTGAAACTGGTTATTAAGGTAAGCAATTCTCCATTGCTTTCCTTTGTCCAAGACCTCCTGTGAGGGTCTAGGAATCTGAGGGAGCAGTGGGTTCAAGGGTTGCCACCCCTTAAACCTCTTTCAAAACTGTAACTATATTATTCTGAATTGTGATTACTTGTTCTGTGAATTGCATTGATAAGTACATTGTCTGTCATCATGTCTACATCACATAAGTTGGAATTTGAGACATCGAATGGTACTGGAGACTTTAGTCTCGACGCTGAAGATGATGGCTTTTTTATTTCAACAAAGGTGTGCTGCAGCCCTTGATGGTCGATGGACTGTAGAGACTAGTGCCTATAGGAGGCAAGAATTAGATGATACTGTATGGAGTTCAATTTTCTTGCATCTGTCTGATAATGTGAATAGGAAAGTTGGTGAAACTAACTCTGCTCAGGCCTTATGGAATAAGCTAGAATCACTTTATCTTACTAAGACTATGCTTAATAAATGTTATCTCCTGAGGTTGTTCTATAACTTTAGATTTGATCCCTCATCTGATTTGGAAGAAAACATAGACAGATTCACAAAACTGATCCAGGATTTAGAAAATTGTGATGAAACACTTCTCATGATCAACAAGTTGTTGCACTTCTGAACTCTCTCAGTAAATACAAAGACGTGAGAACTGCTTTAGAATATGGGGGGCAGGATCTCACTGTTGATATTATAACTTCAGCCCTAAGAAATAAAGAACTTGAGCTGAAAGTTGAATCTAAAGATTCCAAGTATGGGAAAGTGTTGCATATAAAGGAGAAATGGAATCCTAATAAGACGCTACATACAGTTTCAATCATCATAAGAAAGCTAAATCTCAGAACTTTAAATTCAAAGAGAAGAATAAAAGTCATATTAAATCCAAGAATCAGATCAAAAAATGTTACTATGTGCAAAATCAGGTCATCTAATCAAAGACTGTTTCAAGAAAATATCTGATATGAAAGATAAGAATAACTTGGAATGTTCTGCAGCCTTGGTTTGCAAGAATGAACCTGACATTCAAAGACTAGTCCTTGTGAATACCACTGAAAAAAATAAAAAAGAATGGGTCCTTAATTCTGGCTGTACTTTTCATATGTGTCCGAATAAGGAATGTTTCTCTGAATTTGTTAAATTTAGTGAAGGACAGATTTAAATGGGAAATGACATGAGTTGTCAAGTAAAGAGAATTGGAAAGATCAAACTATTGATGAATAACTAC